AAGTTGTAAACATTTGATGTTTGATGTGGAGCTCTTATGTAATGATTACATTTTTAAGATGTAATTTTCAAGTGAAAAACATAATATTTATCTGTTGCATAGTTTACAGTGCGGTGTTTTATGCACTGGGTTATCATGTAGAGTTCTGTTTGTCATCTAGCACCATAATCAGGTTTTGTTTTTATTGCATCTTAGATTTTCCAGCTGCTGTGCCTGAGCAGCCACCCAGAGACCCTTTGCTGCAGTTAGACTCCCTGCAGGAGGCGTCTGGCTGCTGGCTGCTTGATCCAGCTCTGGCTGCTGCACTGGGACAGACCAACGAGGAGGTGGAAAAGTCAAAGCCTGAAAAGATGCACTGCTGTCAATTTAAATATTAACACAAAATGATGATGTGAGATAAAACAGATTTGATTCTATAATTTGAACAAAAACACATGATATAATTAAAAACACACCATAAAACAAATCAAATGAAGTCAAACTAAACGTAGGCCTGCCTCACAGCCTGAGAATAAACATCTGCATATCAGAAGCTAAAACACTGGTGGTAATCACACTCCTAACCTCCCACTGAGCTGCACCAGCGTCTGATATTATCCAGAAACCACACGGCAGCAGAAATTATTTTCCTCATCAGTTGTTGTAAAAACATGTCAGCACATTATTTTAGAGCATTTATGACATCACTGTTTGGGATTTCATCAGGAAGAGCATCCAGTGTAATAATCTGCCAAATCAAATATGCAGAGCTGCCCACCTTGGTGACCCCATGTGACAAAGAAGTACACAAACATATGTAATATTACTGGTTGTAGAAAGTAAAATGTGTGTTCTGTCTGGTTTATTTGATTGATTTTGATTTGGGGAATTAGACCAGCAGTGAAGTGTGGGCCACCATTCTGGCTCTGATCTGGCTTCATGGTTTCAAGATGGATGCAAAGGACGAGTGGGAGCTTCTGGCTATGAAGGCTGCCTCGTGGCTCTGTGCTCACAATGGTACTAGCAATGATTGTAACAGATAAAATAACAGCTTTAAAAAACAGTTTCATTCTACAGCTTTCCTCCCACAATCATTATTTTAATATCTGTTTTGTGTTTTTAGCACCATGTGTGTCAGAGTGTGTGGATGCTGGAAATGTCCTGCTGGGTTGCAGCGTGAAGAAAGAAGCTCTGGGACTCTGAGAGTTTTCTTAAAGTAGCTTCATCTTCAGAGTGAACAGAAGCAGGTCTGCTTACTCCACACTGCCTTTGATACAGAGCTGTTTTATATCATCAGCCCCTTTTACATGTTTATTTGTCATGAATTATGTACCTAATATTGGTTTTACCATTGTGGAAAAAAAGTATGTCAAAATTGTCTGAATACTCCTGACACAGTAGAAGATTGGACCACTGCTGTGGCAGCTCATTCACAAAGTGTTTTAATTCCCTTTCTCTGCCACTAGATGGCGATTATGTTCATACTTTTACTGATTTCACACAGAAACACCAAAACCAATCTAAGAAGTCTTTTCCCTTCCTGTTATAGTTCTGAAAATGGCTTCAGTTCAGGACATTTTCAAGATGGTCCTCAGTGAATTGGAGTGAATAGAGCAAAACTTTTAAAATAACTATTTACAGTGTTTACACCATCTTCTAAACAAAGTAGTCTATGTTGTTTATTTAAAAAACAAAACGATTTTATGGCCAAATTAAAATGAAAACATACAGAACATCATTCTGTTTTTCCCACAGGAGTTACAGTTTTATCCATAAAACACTTTCATTCTGGTAATCGACACTGATTGGTCCTTGAACGTCTTAAGGCAGCACATAGTCTTCGTTCATGTTTGCTTACTCATGACTGTAGCTGGAGTTGAACTGTAGTCAAATGTAAAAAGAATGCCAACTGAAAAGCTGTGTTAGGTCTAATAAAGACGTGTCAATAGTTTAATTGACTTTACATTTCAGGGAGGTATGAATGGCAAAGAACTGAAGAAATGACAAAAGATATGTTTTTAAATACTACCAGTTTTGTATTTGTAAATCACAATTTCAAAGTCAGTACTTTAGTTGTTCTTTTTATAAACATATGATGCAATTTCATCCCTCTTTTATTTTCCTCGATATATAACACTCTCATTTTCTTTTGAATGTTGCTGTTCTTGTTATCTTTGTATTAATTGTAATCATTTTTTATTTTGAAATCATAGCATATACCTGACCTTCTCCATACATGGGGAGCTACCTGCTGTGATCACTGTTTGTGAATAAAGGGGCAGCTGAAAGTAGCTTTTAGATCATTTGGTATTATTTCATTTTCATTGTTAAATCATGAAGTGACATCACATTTTTACATGAAAAATTATATCAATTTAGACATACACACATATTTGTAACTATAAATGCAAGAAAAGTATATCCATATAATTGTCATTATAATCTCAAACAACTCCAGGATCCAAATTTTGGTTACATTTTAAAAGTTGAAGCCACATTAGGTTTACAATCATATATGAAAAGGAAAATTTTTTTTTACATTTTAGAAATCAGAGTACTCATTATTTTACTTTTGTGATTAAAATGATAAAACAATAAAATGCCTAATCATTCACTAACAGATGAATCTTTACAGCTCCAATGCATGTTTTGCACTTAGCCTAGGACAGCCACAGAGTTACACAGAATAAAATCACTAACCAGACTAAACTAGACAGATTAATTATTTAAAGTATGCTGAATATAAAAAGTAGCATAATTTAAACTCACATTAACTCATGTTAGCTATAATAACAAATTCTGATTTATATTTATATAAATATAAGTACAGTTGTAATCACTGCAAAATTATTCTCAGATCTGTCGCCCACTGAATGCTTCAGAAAAAGCCTCATTTAGAGGTATACATAATGATCAGGGATCAAAATGAACTTGTCCTTCTATTTGATTTGAATCAACTCTGCAGTGACTCCATCTACCCAAAGCCAAAGTCCAACCGAGAGAGGCTGAGTGAATGTGGTCTGGACTCTGTGGAGGAGGGTCATGGTTTCAGAGATGCTGTAGAATGACATAATGCCTGCACTGTGATCCAGGTAGACCCCTACTCTGAAGGACCGGGGACCTGAGAGCTTAGTTTGTACATTGTTGTGCCAAAATACATAACTGTTTGTGTCACAACATAATGCCCATGATTTGTCATTGAAACCAAATAAACATTCATATGACTTCCCTATTCTTCTGATAGTCTTATATGCAACTGCTACACCGACTCCTCCCCCTCTCCATTCCACCTCCCAGTAGCAACGCCCAGTCAGACTCTCTCTACTCAGGACCTGCTCCCATCCACTGAATCTATCTGGATGATGAAAATAAGCCTGTTTTTGTTTCACCCTTGTTGCTTTTCTATTGCCCTCAGATAATAACACATGTGGAAATGCAGTGTTTGGATCCAGTGTGATTTCACTGGAGTATTTTAAGAATCCAGCCCTGGTCTTTGGCTCTGGTGGTGAGAGCAGAGCATCCTTTTCAGTGACTTTTAGTGAGGAATTTGTCCATTTCTCTCTCAGAAATTCCTGTAGTTTATCTGTGGCCTCTGAAAGAGCTGCTGTCACATCCTCAAAGTACCTCTGAGGACAGATGCTTATACTGGATGAGGGTGTAGAGTCAGTGAGTGTTGACAGTGAGGGGTAGGTGTGTAGAAACTGGTTGTGATCCTCAGTGTGTGAGAGCTGCTCCAGTTCTGCATCTTTCCTCTTTAGCTCAGCGATCTCTTTCTCCAGTTTTTCCAGAACCTCTTTGACTCGATTCACTTCAGTTTCCTGCTTGGATCTGATCTGCTGCTTCACATCAGAGCTTCTATTCTGAATGAGACTAATCAGTTCAGTGAACATCTTCTCACTGTCCACCACTGTTTTATCAGCAGAGCTAATGATGGCCTCCACCTGTTGCTGAAGCAGCTTGACATCTTTCTCTCTGTTCTGGATACTCTGCTGGATTTTTAGTCGTCTCACCTCGAGCTCTTTCTGTTTCTCTGTCCTTTCTGTTGCAGCTGGGACCGTTTCATGGCCTTTATGTTCATCCAGCAAGCAGAGATAGCAGACAGTCTGCTGATCAGTACGACAAAAAATCTTCATCACCTCATTATGGCGAAAACAGATGTTCTCTTGGAGCTTCTTGAATGGCCCAGCAAGTGTATGCTTACTTAGTTGGGCAACATCACGGTGAGGTTGTAGGTGTTTCCTGCAGTAAGAAACTAAACAGACCAGACAGGTTTTGCTGGCTTTCAGCTTCATTCCAGTACAGACATCACAGGACACGTCTTCAGGTCCAGCATAGCAGTGATCAGCCAGAATAGCCTGGGGTCCGGTTTTCTTCATGTCTTCCACCAGCTCTGCTAACAAGATGTTTTTCTCCAGGATAGGCCTTGGTGTGAAAGTCTTCCTGCACTGAGGGCAGGTGTGGATTTGCTTCCTGTCCTCATCATCAAAGTGGATTTTAATCCAGTTCAAGCAGTAGCTGTGTCCACAGGGAATAGTCACTGGAATTTGCAGTAGCTCCAAACAGATTGAACAAGAGAATTTCTCTGAATCCAACTGATTTAGTCTCTGTGCCATTTCTCCTCTCAACAGCAGTGAATCACCAGATATTGGGCAAAAGCAGCTCAACTCAACTCACAGCATTCTGTGAGCTGAGTCTGTGGAAGGGGAGGAGCCAGCACAAAAGCAACACTGAAACCTGTTTCTAAGAAAAGCTGCCAAACTATCAAAGATTCCAGGACAGGGAGCAGTCTGAGTCGACTTCCTTCTTTCTTTAGAACTCCTTTGGCATGTTAACCTGCAATAACCTTTTAATATATAAATTTTTGGTGTTCACCTGTGCATGTTTATGTTTTTAATTTTTCTATTCCAAACAGCAAAAAAAATGTGATCCAGTATTAGTCTGTGAAGGTTCTCAGTCATCCAGGTCATCGTAGTCTAAGGAGCTTGGAAAGAAAAGCGTCTAGACTTTGCTTTCCAAGGCATGGCATTTCCTTCCTTTTTTACAACAGCTGTGTTTATTAAATTCATATTGATGAATCCAGTGACTTAAAGTTTATCCCATCTTCACATTTCAGATAGTAGAAACGGCTGTAGAATATGGGTAAAGCCTTTCTTCCATCATGACTAATAACTGAAACTCCTCCAATAATTAGTGAAATGCTACACTACTAAGCAACAAATGAACCTGAATGCTTGTGGCTCAGGAGATGCACTCAAAACAGAGTATAGAAGTGTTATATAAGTACCAGTCCATTTAAGGTATATTGAATATGAAGAAATAGTATAGTTTAGCTAAGAATAAGTAAGAAAGGGGAAGTGACTTTGAATTTGGCGTGGTTGTTATTGCCAGATGGGCTCATCTGAATATTTTAGAAACTCTTCATCTACAAAATAGTGAAGACGGCACTAATTCTCCCATTTATGAACTAACTACTTTCAGCTGCTCCCTTGTAACATGGCACCACCACAGTGTGATGGTCCACGTGCGTGATTTTGGCAGTTTCATATCAGAAGCCCTTCCTGCTGACAGTTGCTCTGATATGAGACTGATGACTCCATGAGATAATAATAATAGTGGATTGGATTTAAATAGCGCTTTTCAAGGCACCCAAAGCGCTTTACAATGCCACTATCATTCACTCTCGCATTCATACACTGGTGGAGGCAGCTACGGTTGTAGCCACAGCTGCCCTGGGGCAGACTGACAGAAGCGAGGCTGCCATATCGCTCCATCGGCCAACACCAGTAGGCAGTAGGGTAAAGTGTCTTGCCCAAGGACACAATGACCAGGACAGAGAGCACGGGGATCGAACCGGCGACCTTCCGGTTACAGGATACACTTCCCAAACCCCTGAGCCACGGTCGGAGCATCATGCCTCGTTAGCTGGGGGTCCTGGAGGACCCAGCCAGCACATCCTCATGACCACTGACAGCTCTGGGGAGTCCGTTTAGCCACCGCCTGCAGTGTCACCTCCTGTGACTTCCACACTGTCGCCTGCAGCGTCTTGTCCTGCAGTTGCCATGCCACCAGCTCGTCCACATCTGGCTCAGCCTGCTCGACCTCGCCCACATCTGGTTCGGTGTCAGCAGCCACCTTCCAGGCCGCTGACTGGACTTCTTCCCCGGCGTGGTCGGCCTCCTCAACTGCTCCGTCGCCACCGCTGGTTCTGCGGTCGGCCTCCTGAAATGCTGTGCCATAGACTTTTGTGCCGTCAACCTCCGGGTCGGCCCCCTGAAGTGCTCAGTGATGAACTATTGAGCTGTAGGCCTGCAGGTCGGCCCCCAGATTAATGTGTTTGAACTCATGACACCTATTCTGTTTGGGACTGTTCTGTGCTCCTCTGCCCTCTGTGGACATTTTCTTTTGGATTTTGTTTTGGACTGGGTTAGTGACCCAGTGTTTTCAGTTTTGCATCATTATTGAATTTTTTGTCATCACTTTTCTTTTCTAGTCTTTTGATTTCTGTTCTGTGTTCTATGGCTGCTGTATCCCTAAGCCATGTCGGCGTCTGTTTTGTTTCCTGTTTTACTTTGACATAAGACACAGACTTTCAATGTATTTAGTTTTGCTTCCCTCGCTCTCGTCATGTCAGATTACTCCCAGCTGTGCTCCCCTTCTGTGTCTCATGCCCTCGTTATCCCAGTGTGTATTTAAGCCCTGTGTTTTCCCTGTTCTGTGTTGGGTTGTGGATAGGGATGGGTATCGAGAACTGGTTCACACTGTTTCAATTCCTTGGAATTGTTTGCCATTTTTACAAACGATTCCCTTATCGATTCCAGTCGCCCCGAATGACGTCACCACGTTGCGGAGCGTCATTTACCTGGCAGGAAACACGGCACGTAAGAGGCTCAAACGCTCAAAAGTTTGATTATACTTTACGAGAACGGATGACAACAGGGCAACTTGCAATACTTGCAAAGTAGTTTCATTTAAGGGAGGAAACACTACGAATATGCAAAAGCATTTGCTCACAAAACACACGATGACCTTAAATGAATGTCGTGTTTTTAATTCCGCTCCGGACTCGTGAATCTCA